GGCGCGTGCGCGGCCCAGGGGGGGGGGCCAGGGACGCGTTAAAAGAATAATAGGCACCATGAAGTCTGAGGAGATATCATGGCCCCCGCCATGAGATCCCCCCCCCCTTATGGAGGATGACGTTTAATAAATGACCAGGGGTCGTGTTCACGCGGCGGCGCCCAGGATGACGATTCGAAAAAACCGGCCGCGGGCTGGAAAACTATGTTTTTAATCGTTCTCCTCCAGTCAGAAAATTGCGCAGAAATAGCATTAAACTGTGTTTTAACCCTCCTCTTCCATGTTTCATCCATCGGCACCCCGCATTAGTCCCCCCCCCCTCTTTGCCGCTCCCGCCTTACTCGAGTCTTACGCCTCCCCGACTCAGGGCGAGGCGCGGTCTGCCTCGCGCGACCCCTGCGGGGGGGGGGCCTCTCCCGGGGGCCGCGCGGCCGCGCCCGGTGCAGCCAGGCAGGCACCTGCGCCTCTGGAGATCGAGCAACCGTCAGTCAAGGGGCCCAAGGACACACAAATAAATACGCACAAATAAAATGATTCCCCCATATTTCCCCACGTGTTCTGGGTTTCTGTCTTCCCGCCCAATTCCCACATTTTCCCATATTTTCTTGGGGATCGATGATTAATTTTGTCTGTGTGTTTTTTCTCCTCCTGAGTCAGGGGGGGAGGAGGAGGAGGAGGACAGGACAGGGCAGGACATCCGCATGACGGGCTCAACGTCGAAACGCCTGCTGAGGAGCTGCGGAGTACGACTTGCAAGATTCCCTTTCGAGTGAAACGTGCCGCAGACCCAAACTTCTCATGAGGCCGGCAGGGGGCGTACCCCGATGCTCTAATGGGCGAGTTCCGAGGAGGCCCCGTAAGAGAGGCTCGCTACCTCGCGAGCGCGAGTCCCTACGGGTCAGCGCGGGGGGAGCAGCTGCTGGCCCTCTCGCGTGCCCACTCCTTGGGCAACGCGCTGGGCGAGCAGGGCTCCCAAGCAGGGCGGGGAAAACGACACGACCACTCCACAACGGCACAGGAGGAGAGGAGGGAGGGCATGCGGGAGGCCCCGTTTCGTGCCAAATTAATGCTGGGGGGCCTAACCCATGGTCTGCCAAGGTCCTGCGGGGCCCACGCCTCGAACAGAGTCCCTCCCTCTCTAGGCCCACTTCGCTCCCTGGACGTGCTGGACGCGCCAGGGAGCGGCGCCAGAGGCGCCGCCGGGGAGGCCCAGCGCGGATCCCAGAAATCCGCGCGGAGCGCCGAAAGTTTGGGTTTGTGCCGTTGTTTGGCTACCTACCAGACCACCCCAACCCAACCCGAAGACCCGAATTTCGGGTTTGTGGGGGTTAGGGTTCTACATGTGTTTGTTCGATGTTTCCCGACCTCCCCCCACTGGAAATCGAGGGCAAGTCAGAGCCTTCGGGTTGGGTTGGGGTGGTTTGGTGGGTGGTGATTGTTTGGCTTCTTCGAGTCAAGTTACTGTGCATCCCCTGCCGAAGCCTCCGACGACGTCACTCCTGCTCAGGGCACCAGCCCCTGGAACTCTCGACCCCTCCCTCGGGGCAGCTCAATGCTGAGTCGGCTTTGCTGCCTAGAGGCCTCCTAGATGGGGTCGGAGTAGTTGGGGTCGGAGGATCGCGCCGCATCGCCAATATTTCGCCGATGCATCGGCGATGCATCGGTGATGCACTGGCGATGCATCGTCGACGTCGGCGATGCATCGGCGACCTCGAAGTGAATCAAGTATGGCAACGGCGATGCGGCGCGATCCTCCGACCCCATCTAATAGGCTGTACATCCCCTGCCGAAGCCTCCGAGGACGTCGTTCCTGCTCAGGGCACCAGCCCCTGGAACTCTCGACCCCTCCCTCGGGGCAGCTCAATGCTGAGTCGGCTTTGCTGCCTAGAGGCCTCCTAGATGGGGTCGGAGTAGTTGGGGTCGGAGGATCGCGCCGCATCGCCAATATTTCGCCGATGCATCGGCGATGCATCGGTGATGCACTGGCGATGCATCGTCGACGTCGGCGATGCATCGGCGACCTCGAAGTGAATCAAGTATGGCAACGGCGATGCGGCGCGATCCTCCGACCCCATCTAAGAGGCTGTACATCCCCTGCCGAAGCCTCCGAGGACGTCGTTCCTGCTCAGGGCGCCAGCCGCCTGGAGCTCTCGACTCCTCCCCTCGGGGCGGCTCAATCCTGAGTCGGTTTGGCTGCCTAGGGGTCTCCTGGATAGGGTCGGAGTAGATGGGGTCGGAGGATCGCATTGGATCGCCGATGTATCGCCGATTCATCGGCGATGCATCGTCGACGTCGGCGTGGAGAAATCGGGCTCCACATCGAGCCGCATCGCCGATGCATCGCTGTTGCGATCATCCGACCCCATCTACTCGGTGCCCATCTTGGAGACCTAGCTTGACGGCCCCGGGCCGAGAACCGGCTGAACATCAAGAAACGGATCATGCGAAAACCCTCGCCTAGATCCCACAGGCTGCCCGGTCGGAATCCTTGTCCATGAGGTGGGGCAAGTGCTCGTCCAGGATGCGATACCTCCCCAGTTGGGAGCGTTTACCGCCGTCGTCGTCGTCGGGGCCATCTGGAGGAAAAGACAAGTTCATAAACATACGATCAAGAACTTCTGCACAGAGTTTCGCGGCGATGGCCCCGGCGACACGCTATTCCTACACCTTAGGCGATGCTTAAGAAAACTTGAATTTTCGGCCAGAGTCTCGTTTATTCTTAATGTTTCAATGTGAATCCTAAGATTTGAATCGAATTTTTGGGTTTTTATTCAACTTCTGAGACTATGAATTTCTTAACCCATGATTTCTTAAGCATTTCGCAGGGTGTATGCTTGCGAACGGATAGCGTGTCGCTCAGCTCCCATGGGTAGGAGGCCGGGAACAGCGCTCGGAACGCTGACGCCCGGGGAGACCAGGATAATATGGAGAGCGTGCCGTGCCGAGCCGTGGTGGGCAAGATCTTCACCAACGGTTCTCGTAGGCGACGAGCCCAGGGGGTAAATGAGAAGGAGAGGGCCTTCTCAGGAGGCCGCGGGACTTCTTAGAAGTCCGGGGGGCTTCTGAGGCGTTTCCTTGGCCTATGTCGAATACAGACAGAACTTCTCAGAAGCCCTCTCAGAAGTCCAGAAACTTCTCAGAAGCCTCGGAAGTCCCGCCCCTTCTCATTTCCCCCCCGCGCCCGCCGCCGATCTCGACCGTGAATACTCCAGAGCTGACCCCGTTTCCTCCTGTCGCGCGGCTGCGCCGGAGCCGATGCCAAGGGGGTCCAGCGCCGGTCCAGGACATTCGCGCGGACCCCCGGAAGCTGAGGCTTATGCCGTCGTCTTCTTCAACCATCGCCGTAGCCGTGGTCGCCATCCTCGATGTCGTCGCCGCCGCCGCCGTCGTTGAGCATCGTTGAACCGATCCCCGTCCCCACTGGCATGGCCTTGGCTCCGCTGGCCGACTTGCCCCTCTGAGTAGGGATGCATGCTGCTCCTTCCGAGCCTCACGGGGCCCATGCCCACTTGAGAAGGTGGACTGGCGGGGCTTGGCCCAATGTGACGAACTAGCACCGCACACACCCATACCCACATGGTGGTTGGAAGGGGTTATGGCTGCGACTTCCCGGATGGGGTCCCCACTCGCACGGGAGCGTCCCCACGGGTCTGACAACCCGCACCCACACCCATAGCCAGTCCTCCTCTCAACGACCCTCCTATGGGTATGGGTGCGTGCTGTTCCTCATTTGCAATGGTAATCTGGTTACCCTCGACCCATGTTACCTTGTCTGGCCCTTCGAGCCGCGCGCCGCGGACTCCCGGCAGCCTGCGCTGCTTGGCGACGCAGAGGGACAACACAAATGATAAGCAACTGTACGACGGCGAACGCGCAGGCGAAAGCCCAGGCTCATGTTGCTCCCATCGTACTTAAGGACCGCATCCAAGAAGCAATTTCGAGCATCCAAACAAGTATCGAACGAACCAGTGTCGAACGAGTATCGCCTCCCAGAGCCTGACATGTCAAACCCTCAAGGTTCGGTACTTCCTTGGTGCTCGAAATTCTTTCTGGTGGTCCAGGCTAAATTAAGTTGGGGCATCATAAGCCCACGCCCAGCGGGACAACGCAGGCGGGCGGGCTGGCTTTGAGGGACGGGAGGAGAGACCCAGACATCCGATGTCTGCAGTTCCTCCAGACGGGATCCCCAGAGGTCTGGACATTCTTCAAGGGGCCCAGGGACACACGTATATATATATATATATATACATATATATATATATATGTATACATACATATATATATATAGACACAAATCCCAGGATTTCCTGTATTTTCCCATATTGTCTGTGCTTTCGTCTGCCCCCCCCCCACGCTTGCCAAATTTTCGCATATTTTCCCGGGAGTCAGCGATCAATTGTGTGTGTGCCCTTTTCCCCTCCTGAATTCTCCCCGGGGCGGGCTTTTCTTCCTGAGTCGTTGTTTGCCCTTTATGGGGCCCGGCGAGGGCCCCCCGACGCCGAAACCAGTCAACAACTTCCGCCTGGAGTCTCCCGGGACTAGATACGAGGCCGCCCCCAGGGGGTCCGAGAGAACGCGCTTCAGAAGATCAGACAGAACGCGTTTCGCGGATGCCTGCCCTGCAGAAGCATTCGGGGACCTTCTGACCCGGGTCAATCCAGACCCGGGTCAGCGGGAAACCAAAAGACTGCAATGCAGGAACAAACAAAACACTGCAGCGCAGGTCTTCGCAAACCCGGGTCAGCCAATATGCGCGGCCGCCTCGCGGCCACGAGCGGCTCGCTAACCCGGGTCAGCCAGAGGGGGTCTTCGCAGGATCCTGCAGGATCTGGTGCCCTGGCTGACCCACGTTTGTATTGACCCCCGTCTCTTGAGCCCCGAAGCATTTGAACACGTGGAGCCGGCCGCCCCCAAAACGCTGAGCATGCCCTGAAGACCTGGGAGGGCCCCCCCACCCCTGGACGCGGGCTTCGGCGGTGGACAAACCTCCCTTTAGTAGACCTCCCCTTAGTGAAAGCGGCCTAGGACCGAAACCGACGGAGCTGGACTCGCAAAAATGACGGCCGCGACGCCCTCTCGCGAACCGAAAATGGCCAATTCCTTAATCGACGTGTCAGGGTATGAGGTATGTCCCCCCCCGAGGGCTCCCCTAACCTGGGGGGGGGCGCCTGAAAGAGAGGGGGGCGGGGTCGAACCGGCCACCCCCCTGTCCAAGGGTCGGTGGCACGGTCCGAACTGGGCCCCTCTCCCCCTTGATTGCAAGGAAGGGAGGTGGTTTGAACAGGGAGGGGGCCAGCGGCCCTCCTTCCAAATGTATGTGGGGGGGGCCCTCCCCCTGATAGAATCCTGCCAGGCTTCAGTCCTACTCTAATAGTGCCCCAGTATATCGGATCCAAATCTACATGGCTCCTACCATCACTGGATCCAACTCTCATCGAACCCTACAAAAGTCCGATCCAGCACTGATAGAATCCGGTTACAGCTGGACCTACTAAACTTTACTAGCATCCTAGTCGAGCCCGATTACAGTATGATCTAACATAATCTTCTATAGTTGGATCAAGCTCCAATTGAATCCTACTGAGGCTTGATCTGGCTCGAACGCCATCCTGCCATGGCTGGAGCCAACTATCCGCCACCGTGCCTCTAGTACGAAATGGAGAGGCCCAAGGCTCATGCAGCGCTGAGAGGTAGACGCCCTGCTGCTTCTGCAGCGAGAACTGCAAGTCTTCAGGAGCCCCGACCAATCGTGTCCAGACCCTTCACCGGGGCTTCCCGGGCTGGCTCCCGTGAATTCTAGGGTGTATCCTGGGCCTCCTGTGAACGCTGTGCCCCACAAAGGAAAACAAGCTGTTGCATCCGATGGCGACCCATCCGCCCCGACTCATCCGATACGCAATCTGGGTGAATCGCCACGGGATGAATTGGACTGGATGGGATAGTCTCCAGATGAATTAGCCGGGGTGAACTAGTCACGTGATGAGTTAGTCCAGATGGGTCACACTCACCGGATGAATTAGGTATCGGGCGAATCAGGCTCAGCGAGCGAAAACGGGTGATTGCAGGCCCCAGGTGAGTTAGGCACCGCGAGTGCGTTACGCACCGGGGTGAGTCTTGGGATTGAGTGAGCGGCACCAGGTGAGTGAGGCACTGCGTAAGAGATGGGGGGACCGACTGAATCCCGATCGGGGCTCTCGGATACAATTTTGTTGGACTACAGAACGTAGTGCAGTCAATCAAACCAGGTCAGCTTGGTGCTGGCACAGCTGGTCTTGCGCGTTAAACCTGTTTTCAAGCTCCGTCGCCTGCAAGATCGCGTACAACCCTGGATTTCTTGACAACGGAACTTGTTTCCGAACAAGAAGCTCCTTGAAATGATCTTGCTGAAATGCTGAGTTCGTGTGCACGGCTTTCAAAAAAATCCTCAAACGGAAAATCTGGCCCAGAAAGGTTAGAAAAGGACGGAGAAAGCCTGGAGCGGAGGGCAAGGAATTCCCTCACAGCTCCGCACATCCATCACCTGATGCGAGAAGCTGCTCATGGTCGCAACAGCAAGGCGTCCAACTCCTTCGCCCGAGCCACCCCTGCCTGGATGTCGCCCACGACGGTGTCGCTCTCCGCGATCAAATTCTCCTGAAAATTGGCTTTGACGCGCTCGAGGCACGCCGTGAAGTTTTTCTGCCGTAGGGTCTTGGTCTTGCCTTGCCCGTTCGACGCCATGAGGTTGGCGGCGGTGGGGACGTTGCCGTAGCCCCAGCCGGTCAGCAGGTCGAGAATCTCCTCTACCGGGGTGCCAGCGCGCTCCAGCCACTCCGGGATCAGCTCGATGGTCATGATGCACGGGGGGTACTTGGAGAACAGGTTCTGGGAGCCCTTGATGAAGTGGCCCTCGTGGCCCTCGATGTCAACCTTGGCGATCAGGATGGCCTTCAGCGCCGGGTTGTACTTGAGCATGAGGTCGCCGGTCGTAAGCGGCACCTCGTACTCCTCCACAACAACCTTCTGTGCGAAGCGCCCCTTCTTGCCTGGGTGGAACAGATCCTGCAGCTGGTCGTCGCTCATCTCGGTGAACGGCTTGTTGCCCTTGACGGAAGAGCCGCCCTTGTTAACAGGGTTCAGTGACATGGTAACCTTCTTCGGGTCGCCAGGCATCCCCACGGCGTACATGTACATGTCCACATTGGGGAGGTTGTTCACCAAGATGCCCATCGCGAGGTGGTCGGCGGTGGGCGGCATCCCCTCCACTGCAATCACCCTGCTGCCGTGAAAAGGTCGTCGACTGCGGAGGCAGTCCGCCATCGGAATGGTGAAGCTACCAATGTTCGCGCCGACGTCGAGGAAGTTGCCGATCTCACCGTACTCGAGGTAGTGTTGACACAGCGTGGCGATGTGGGCTGTCTCCCAACCATTCTCGGAGAGGATCTCGCCAGAGACCCCTTGATCCTCCCAGCGATCAAACGTGGCGATGGTCAGGTTGTACTCGTGGACCTGGCTCCTGACGGTCGCGCGGTACAGCGGGTGGTTCGCGGA